TGGCCAAATTTTTATACACAAGTGTACATTTTGTAAGCTTAAACCTTTCTTTCAGATTTTACTTAAAGATTTAAATCTTTATATGTCTTGATTTCTAAAGCAACTAACAGAAAGCTGTAAAAACTGTGAGTCTGTTTAAAAGATACATTTATATTTTGCTCCCTGGCATTTAATGTGATATAATGTAATGTAAAGGTTTCATTTTGTTATTCATTCATTCATATTTTTTTCGGCTTAGTCCCTTTATTAATCTGGGTTCGCCACAGTGGAATGAACCGCCAACTTATCCAGCATATGCTTTACACAGTGGATACCCTTCCAGCTGCAACCCATCTCTGGAAAACAGTCATACACACTCATACACTACAGATTATTTTAGCCAACCCAATTCACCTGTACTTCATGTCTTTGGACAGTGGAGAGAACATGCAAACTCCACACAGAAATGCCAACTGACCCAGCAGAGGCTCGAACCAGCGACCTTCTTGCTGTGTGGCGACAGCTGTGCCACTGCATCACCGTCATTTTGTTATAAAAAAAAAAAAAAAAAAAAAAAAAATATATATATATATATATATATATATATATATATATATATATATATATATATATATATATATATATTTATGTTGACTACAATTTTAATAGGTAAAACATGCTTTTCCTATAGTTGTAAAAATAATAACAGATCAATAAAAGCCCTTTTCCAGAAGGATATTGCATCAAAACCAAATGCAAAAGCATGTTGAAATTAATTTATGAGTGATGTTGATTGTAAAAAGTTTTGGTATTGTCTGCCTAATCTAGTAGTCTGCCTTTTAGTATTGTCTGCCTAATCACTATTTTTTAACAAACAAGGTTAAAAGATTTCGTTTAAACTCCTTCACAGAATATATCCTGCCAAACATTATTCGTTTAAATTTTAAAAAGATATAGATGTAAGGTGTAACTTTTGCAAGCTGAGGCCAGAAAGCGCTGTTCTTTTATTTTGGTATTGCCTCCTTTAGTCATTTTTTTCTGGCAAAATGTACTTTATTGCTGTCAATATTAATGAAAATATTAGTTTACACTGGAAAGATGTTCTGTAAGGAACATTTGAAAACTCTTGAAACAAAAAGTCCCATCCATTTTTTAAATAAATTTTATTTTAATGGCCAAATTTCATATTCAGAAATGTTCAGGTAAAAAGTCCAAGTTTTATTGCATTTAAAAATGAAGTGAAGCATTAAAAAAATCTAAAAGCTATGCAAATTGTACAAGCCTGCATGTCATTTAATGCATTCCTGTGATATTGTTCATATCTCCCCCAGCCTTTGAAATTTTCTTTGCATTTGTTGTACTTGACTTGTATTACTTGACGTTACTCAATAATAATAATAAAAAAAATAGAAAATTGTTGACTATAATTTAGGGACAGACACAAAATGATTTTTTTTAATTACTGAAATTTCATATAATAATAAAAATATGTATTATGCAAATGTTTATCTCACTTAATAAACATAATAAAGTTGAAAATTAGACTTAATTATTTCATGATAATTGAAGCTAAATTAAGTAACAGAGTCAAAAATAGGTAGTTGGAGTATTTAAGTTAATATTATTAAGGCAAAATGTCTCAATATTCACATACAAACATAAATTTTTTTAGAGATAACTTGATATAATTTGTGTTATTTAAATTTGTTCCATAAAAAAGGTTTATCTTGGAGCAGCAAAATGTAAACCTGCAGTTCTGAAATCACCCTTATGTTTTTGGTTTCGTTATTTACCTGAGATTTGACGTCATTGCATGAGCTATTTCATTTCACCTGGACATCGTAACGTTCTTGCTGCAGGCATAGTATTTCATGTCTGACACATTCTTCAAGGTAATAAATTGGCAACCTCAAATGAGCCCTTTCAACTTAAAACAAACAAAAGCAATCATCAGAAACATATCAGTACACTAGAAAACACACACACACACACACACACACACACACACACACACACACACACACACACACACACACACACACACACACACACACACACACACACACACACACACACACACACACACACACACACACACACACACACACACACACACAGCAGGGAATAGACAATAATTAATACTATTTTAATATACTATTAAAATTAATACTTTGGCAGGTACCACTATCAGGAGCAGGGGACGGCTGACTCTCCACAGCGACAACCTGTAGCATTTTATATATTAATACTCAATACTAATACAAAAGTGTCATGGCAGAGATTTGCTTTAGAAAAACAAATTCAGTTATCATAAGTCAAGAATCAGCATACATATAAAGACAATATTGGGCTAAGAGGAAAACAAAACAGTTTTGTGTCTTGTTCATTCTTATCATACATGACAATGATGTTGAAATGTGCTTGAATGTGTACATTTTGGAAAATGGGCTTCAAAGTTCAAGTTTATGAAAACGATACCATTATCATCTTGGTGTAAATTATTTTAAAAATTGTGATTTTTCTCATGCACGTCTCATGCAACACGAAAAACAACATTGGCAATGTGTGCAGGCACTTATTGTTTCTTTACAAAGAACATGTATAAAATAAAAAACTAGGGCTGCAGAATTTTGGATAAAACTGACATTGCATTTATATCGCAATATATAATCACAGTAAATGAAAAAAATCGCAATTTCACCAGATGACTTGAATAGCTTGTAAAGAATTCATAATTTAAATCAACTGGGAGCGTACCTGCATCAAATATCATTTAAAAAATGAAAAGCATAGTTAAGTACAACAGACAAAACATGCAATTAAACAATCAATTGTTATTTTCTGGGAAGTCAAACATACACAGTATTCAGAGGCAGAAATTAAATAATTACGGTATAATATTACACTGTATTATTTTAACCAAGTAAGTAATTGTTGTAATAATGCAGTAAGTATTAATGTTCAATTAATATTTAAGCTACAAACATTTAATTTATTGTTCCCAAATTCCTCAAGTTTGCTTCAGATTCTTACAGTCAGGCCTTAAAAACACATGCAAATAATAAACTTTCACTTTAAAGTTAAAGTTTGATTGTTGTAACTGTTATTGCTAGTCAACTACAATCCCAACTACATGGCAGACGCCTGCGATGCGACAATTGCAAACTTGCACATTGCAATATCAAGGCTAAAGCAATTATTGTGCAGCCCTATAAAGAACTATTGGTGAAATTTAATCTAAAAGAAAAAAACTGTAGCTGGGGTTGCCAGATCTTTACCATAATATGCAATAGCAGCATTTTAGGCTTCAAAGATCTTAACTTAAATTCGATAAACATAACTAAACTTAAATTTACCGTGAAACAGCAATTCTTTAACAGATAGAATGTTAACACACCCTCCTATTGTAGTACTAATATATGTTTTTGTACCTTTGTTATACACTGAAAACCACCAAACGCAAGTAATGAGTAATGAAAATGAGTAACTTTTAATGAAAAGTACATTATCAAGCTCACAAACAGCTTTTCCACAAACTGAAGAAAGAAATAGTGTTTATAAACTAAAAGATGATGACTTGTAAATAGATTTCATAATCAATTAATTGTTATTAATATTTTCCCAGAGATGGGTTGTGCCTGGAAGGGCATCCGCTGCGTAAAAACTTGCTGGATAAGTTGGCGGTTCATTCCGCTGTGGCGACCCCGGATTAATAAAGGGACTAAGCATACAAGAAAATTAATGAATGAATTAATGTTATTAATATTAACCAATATCATATTTTCAGAAGATTAATAATTTGAGAATGTAGTTTAATAAAGTGAAGCAGCAGGTTAAATATGATATTGTAAACATATGAAATGTGTTTACGTCTGATTTTTTTCTGTGCACGAAAAATTCACTGTCATCATTTACCTAACCTTGACTGTTCCAAACCAGTTTGAGTAATTTTTGTTCTGCTGATCAGAGGAAAATATATACTTAAGAATGTTGGAAACCTGTAACCATTGACTGCCATTGTATTTGTTTTTCTTACTATAATGGAAGTCAATAGTTTAATAATAATTTCCAAAATCTTTTAATACACTGAAAACCCTAATAAATTGACTGAACGAAATTAATTGAGTAAACTCATTATCTTAATTTAATTGAGTCTCCCAAAACTTGCATATTTAAGTTTATTTAAGTTTGGTGGATTATAATTAAATTGTTCAGTTCAGGGTGTGTGTCTGTGTGTGTAATTATTTACTATGAAAAACATGTTTTTAGGAAAAATAAGTAGCCATTTATTCCCATTATGGTGAATAATTATATGAAGCCTTGTTTTCTGTTTAAAAAAAGACTTTAAAAGGTTGCACATATTAGAATTTTACAGTCAAGACTACATTAAAACGACCTATTTTTTTTTTCAAAGGATTATTTGTGATTTTGAGCTTACTATACTTGAAATCTTAGGTTTATATAAGTTAAACGAACTCATATTTTTAGGTGACAAGACCAAAATGCAAAATTTTAAGTAATGTTCAGTCAACTTTACTTTAAGTAAACAACATTAGGGTTTACAGTGTATCTCCTTTTGTTTTGAACTTGTTCAAATTTTGGAACAAGTGAGGGGTGAGTAAATGATAACCAAATATTGATACTATTTATTATAAATTGTAAATGAGATCGTTAAACTGAATCAGATAAACACTCGTGTTCCAGGATTCACAGAATCAAGTTATTCTAAGAAACTTCCATTGTCATGAAAACTGAGATCATATCAAATTGTGAGGCTGAGAGCTTAAAATGCTGATTTAGACCTTACACATGATATCTTTAGGAAAAACATTGACCTAGACAGATTTGCTTTACAAGTTTCATGGTAAAAAATGCACTTTTGTGCCCAAACATAGTTAAATCTTTGTAGGGAAAGAAGTGGCTTGTTAGAGCATGCATAGCCCTTAAAATATAAAGGCAACTGTAAACAAAGATAACCGGTTGAGATACAGAACACAGTATCTTTTTCTCAAACACAGTGATAACAGAAAAACACTTTATTGCATTCAAATAGATCAATTACACATGTAACATTGATGAAATGAGAGCTTTTAATTATTATTCCACTTGCGTTAGACAATAAATGCATGTGTTATTTTTATAGATATGGATTAACTGATACAGAGGAGCCTCATAAACCTGCACATTTATCAGCTCACAAAGGAAGAGAAGGGTAAAATTTGTTGCACCTCTTTAGATATTCTTTCCTGCTGCTTTTTGAGACTGCAAAAGAATGACATGACTTATTAGAATGATTATATTTCATCACTGGTAATATTACTTTACATTCACAATCCTTCAAACTTACATATTTGGGTGTCCCTGCAAATGCACTTCAGAATTTCATAGTATTCATCTCTGGATTTAGGGTTGGGTCTTTTTGTACACTTTAGGCCCTTATCAGGGTAAACTAAAGAGAAAAGTTGGGTTATTACATTAGGCAATCTCAAACAATCGTATGTTTCAAATCAAAACAATCATCAAACACTCAAATCTGCATCAAATTAAACACTCACACACTTAAATATAAAGCATCCATTAAGCATTTGTGCTGAATTTTGGCATCTACTTGGCCAAAAAAATGTATACAATTAGTTACTCATGTTCAGTCACTATACACACACTGATAAAAATTTATTGCTTCATTTACTTAAAAATTTTTATTTTTTGCATGATTTTTTTATGCAGATGAAACAATACTAGGCCTTATTGAACTTACTCAATTTTTATATCTGTTGGAATGAAATTTACAGATAAACTTCAATTTTTTTAACTTAATTTTTCTATTTCTCTAACCATAATTTTGATGCGTGATCTACATAACCAAAATAGTTATAAACTTACATTTGTATTGAAACCAAATACTTCTTTAAAGATTGTTTATATTACAAATTTTAAGTAGGAGTAGACTACTTGAGAAATGGCGACCACGCTTTTACTTTTGGAAAAATACTTCAATGGTTTACTTATGATTTATATTAGATATCAAATGTGCTTTGGTCCTCTTTCCGGAACTTTCTTGAGCATACTCAGCGACTAACTTTTGCCTTTCTAATTTTGGTTAAACTTTTTTATTACTTCAGATTTTGTTTTTTTGCTTTTTGCATTTGTATTTACTTGAATGAATAACAAGAACTCCTGGACATGTAGTTATAGCATACCAGTACCACAGTCTTATTAAAAAATGTAGAACCACTTTCAACAGTTCAACATGAACCTTTTATTAAAGTTCTTAAGAACCATTTTTCTTAGCGAAGAACGTTTCAGTAATTTAAATAGCCTTTTACCATGCTTTGTGTAGAGAAAGGCTCTGCATGGAATGCTCAATGCCAATAAAGAACCTTTATTTTTATGAGTGTTTTAATACACATTATTAGGTGAAAAAACTACAGAAAAACAAATGGATTTCTTACGTTTGCAGCCACAAACAGCAGATTGTTTCATGGATCTCCTCTGTGAACAGACTGTGTGAAGACAAGAAGTGGCATTAGTCTCACAATGCAAGCATAAACATTGATATCAAAACCCACAACATCCTCTATTTCATGAATACATTATTGTCTTAGGATGTTAGAAAAATTAAATGTTACACAAAACTTGAGTAAATGCAAACAAGACGTAAAGCACTGCTTATAATTACCTGAGTTGTTGCACAAAATGATGGTCAGAATCAGTAGGGCAAACACCAGACAGATTGGTTTGGTCATCTTCACGATATCGCTGCTCCAAAAGGATTGAAAAGGTATGATTTGAGTCCTGCTTTTTATCCCCCCGTGCAAGGATTATCTCCATCGGCACCCTTTCCTCTTCACCCACTTTTATACTCTGAACCATTCATGAGGGCTTTACGCGTAACGGTTTAAATAAGCCTCAACATGTTCAGGGTGCATACCACGATTTTCACCCCCAAAAAGAAAGATTATATTTCTTGTTTACTTCAAAACTAAACAAGAAAACTCAAGAGAAAACATGTTAAATCTGATAAAGTCGATCTTGTTAGATCACAATGTGTGGGATTGAATATCTGAAATAAATTAGGTGCTGCGAGTCCAAGTCAAAAGGAAAGCAAAAATAGATTGTGTCCTTATGATGAAGTGCAATGACCTATAATATTTATTTGGTGAACAATTAAAGAAATAATTTATTACATTTACTATTTTTTAAGGAAATAAAGATTTGTTTATACAGTTGAAGTCCTCCTGAATTATTAGCCCCCTTTATATTTCCCCAAATTTCTGAAAGATGTATTATATTCATTCCTAAACATAACAGTTCTAATAACTATTTTGTAATACCAGAACTTTGGAACATTATCATGATGATAGTAAATAATATTTCACTAAATATGTTTAAGATACTAGTATTCAGCTTAAAGTGTCATTAAATACAAGTTGTTGTAATTAGGCAAATCATTGTATAATGATGGTTTGTTCTGTAGACAATCTAAAAACATAGCTAGAGGGCTAATAATAGTGTCCTTACAATAATTGTAAAAAATGAAAAACTGCTTTTATTCTAGTCGAAATAAAACAAATGAACAATTTCAGCATTATGAATGTGACCATTGCAGTAAAAAATTCAAAATATAAATTCAGAGAAAGCATATGTTAACATTATATTAAAACTTCTGTTTATATTTTTTTCAAAACAACTGACCAGAGTTATGGAATCAGAAAAGTATCAATCTGTATTTTTTTTTTTTTTTTTTTGGATTTTAAATGGTGGAAATAAACATGCATTATGGATGTGACCAAAAAAGTATGCAAGTTTACAGTATACAACATACTTTGTAGAAATTCAGTGAATTAAACTGCACAACCCAAAAGAAATATTGCTCATTAAAAAGGATAAGAGTTGGCTCACTTTAGAACAAACATGATTTTATTTTACATTTGTGCATTTATGAGAAAAAAAGCATTGTTACAGATCTCCAGAGGAAGACTATCTCCAGAAGAAAAAGAATATTATAGGAAATACTGTGAAGGATTCTTTGCTCTGTTGAACATCCTTTGGTAAATATTTTAAAAAGAAAAAAGAAATCACAAGAGGGCAAATAAATCTGACTTTAACTGTATATGTATGACAATCGACTAGTGTTTCTCCCTAAACAAAGCATACGCATGTGTGGTGTCTTCATTTCCTAAATCAGCAAGGTGATACTTTAGAAGACAGAGGACAAAGAGATCACTGGATTAAGTAAATATAAAGCTGAAACCTGATATGATTTTCTCACAAGTTTGGCAACTGAATTTTCCCACCTGAATGTGCAGCCTGTGAATGTTCTTTACTGCGGATCATTAACCTTTACAAATATTGAACACTATATTGTTAAAAAAAGAGAGAAATTGCTTTGGTGTAAATGGCATAGCATGTAAATAGCATTTCCTAAAATACACAACATAAAAAATTGTGCCTGAGAAAGCTTCTCAAATGGAGCGAGAAATATTTACAATGTCACATTAATAACTCGCACAAACTTCTTTTTTTTTGTCACCAGTTATTTCATTTGATTTAGCTATAATTTCATACAAAGCCACAGAACCCACACCCTGGTGTTTTGTCTTTGAATGACTGGCTGCTTTTTTTCAGATTCAGTGACTCAGTCTTAAAGGACATCGATGATGAATATCATCTTTTTGAAGCTTTTTGGAAAGAACTGTGTGCAGGTATAGTGTGTCCACAGTCATATTGGTGATATAAACCCAGTAAGTCTCTTTCTTTTTAATTTCCTGACATTAAAAACAGGATACAAATCCCTCCCAATTGGATTGACAGCTGGATATTAACATGTCTCCGTAGTAACGCATATAATCATATCAACAAGACAGAACGTGCACAAAGCAACTGGGATTAAAAGATCTGTTCAGCTCGCTGTGATTATCTGCAACTCAAGAATAAGTTTTACAAGTTTAAAATGTTTTTAAAACAGAGCATGTTTATAATGAATTACAGTGATTTAAGCGTCTTTAACACCACAGCTGCAGCTGGTGGCCTCATGTACGCAGACTTGCATTGAAATCATACTAAAACATTGCGTACGCAGTAAAAAATTCAGATGTATGAAACACTGCATACAAAATACTTTGTAGTGTGCAATTTAACACAATTGCCTCTAGGAGTCACCAATGGAAATAAAACAAACACACAAAAAAATGCACATACGCCAGACATGAAGTTGGTGTAGACCAACACACACTCACGTTCCTTTTATCGTTAGTAAATCCAAACGTGAGCGTGAAATCTGGCGAACAGAAAGTTTTTGTGCGCACGCAGCGTTGATACATGAGGCCCCTGGGGTTTGTAACAGCGTGAACTCTGTAACAACATTATGTGTGACTCATCGTGGCAAAAAAGCTTGAATTAACTCCAAAACAAATACATCAAATAACCATTGGGAAAGTTCTTAATAAAGTATTTCTCCCAAACGTTACCTCAGATTTGCTTCCTTCATGTTTGTCAATGTGCTGTTTATCTGAAGCAGTGCAAGATTGAGGCACACTCTGATAGGCACGTGGGAACGGATGGTGGGGAGAACTAGCATTAAAGGCACAGGCATTAAAAACAGCTACAGTGTGTTCAGAGCAGAACATTCCAATGTTCTGAAAGGTATAAACAATCTGATAGGCGTTTTGAACTGAAACTTAAGAGACACATTCTGGAGAATTAAATCTTGAAAAAGGGGTAAAAAGGTGCCCTTTAAACAACCCTCAATCAGACTGAACACATTCGTTGATTAAATAATTTACAACTCGCTCAAAGAAATGCTGAGAATTCATTTTGCTCCATTGTTGAATCCTGTGGAATTGAAATTGTGGCTTTTACAATCAGACTTTTCAATGAAAAAATCATTGATTGTGACTGTTTAAAGATGGTGAAGTCGTCAGTGTCTGGCCCTGTCAAATGTGGCATACCTATGTTCACATAGCAGTAGTTTTATTTGTTTTGGACTTTATTCTCAAAAATATAGCTTAGCTTTTAGAAGCTTCCAAGGCACTGTATATTCCTGCAAAAAATCTAATATAAATCTCTACTGGTAATGTGTTGCCTTCTATCATGTTAAAATCTCTTATACCTGTACATAATGAAATGTAACAAAATACATATGTACGCTGGTTCAAATTGTGAACAGTTGAAGGCTTGTATTTGTAATGTTAAATGGTATCTGTAGTGGTTAAAATACATTATTAAACCGTACGTCTACCCTGTCCTTATAAAGGAAAAAAAATACTATAGCAATTTAGAGTAAATGCTAAGTTTTTCAACAAGGTGGCACAGTGGCTCAGCGGTCAGCACTGTTGCCTCACAGAAAGAAAGTCGCTGGTTCGAGTCCTGGCATTTCTGTGTGGAATTTGCATGTTCTCCCCATGTTCGCATGGGTGTCCTCTGGGTGCTGCGGTTTACCACACAGTCCAAACACATGCAGTATAAGTGAATTAAATAAACTGAATCCGTCGTAGTGTGTGTGTGAATGTGAAAGTGTAGGGGTGTTTCCCAGTACTAGGATGCGGCTGGAGGGGTATTCGCTGTGTAAACATATGCTGGAATAGTTGACGGTTCATTCCGCTGTGGCGACCCCTGATAAATAAGGGACTAAGCCAAAGGAAAAATTTATTAATTAATGTTTTTTCAACCATACTACGGTAACTAGTACATAAATATTCATATTTACCACACTTTGTTAATGAGTACTGTCATATTAACTATCGTCAACTGATAAACTGTAATAAGTAATGTAGTTAGGGCTGGGCGATATTTCGAATTTATGTTTTGACAACGATTTAATTTTATATTAAATCGAGAATCGCTATTTAACTTGTGAATTCGTTTTACATTTATTTACACCTTGACCGATTTTTGTATGGTATGGCCATTAAAAATACAATGTTCCTTAACCAGATGGTTTTTCAAGTTACTTATAAAGAGAATGTTACTTCAGTCATGTTGTTGTAATGTTTTGAGAAGACTAGTAACACAATAAAAAAAATCAAAATCAAAATCGTGAATCGGTCAAACGTTATAAAAAACCTAGATTTTTTTTGTCAAATCGCCCAGCCCTAAATGTTGTATACATTAGTTTTTTTACTACGGTAACTGATGTATTGAGTTATAACATACCGTATAGCTGTTGAACCAAAGCAACAATAGAATTACCAAAACAGATAAAACTATAGTGTTTACTATAAATTACTATAGTATTATTTCATGGGTGGCCTTGGTTGTAAGCTAGAATAACTGAATAAGTCGTTTTTACCCCTTTTACCTCACCTCATCCTGTAATTCTTTAAAACTACGTAGGCTTACAAAAGCGTCATGGTGATAAAGAAAGCTGAGTCTTTCTCAGAGTGAGTGGTGAAGCAGCAGCCACGGGTGAGGCATTCTCTAAGGTCCAGTGTGGGCTCTCGTGTCTGTGGGTTAGAGCCTACACACGGTGGGCGACTAAGCCGTCCATAAGCAGCCAGCTGCCCACGGGCTCTCAGCAGCAGGAGTACAGTATCTATCGCCGCGGTCGGGCCCTCCCTCGCAGTGACGCACTCAGAAAGGACCAAGGAAATCCCCAAGTGAGAGTTACGACAGACTCTCGCCACCGTAGATAGTAGGCAACTTCCGACTAGCGCCGAACAAACCGACACAGAACCCGAATACTCGTAAACCTTGTCCACGCTCCGCACAAATTCAAGGTAGGGACATATTTAGTTGATTTATGCTTGTATGTGTTGTATTTTCCGACTGTAAGATACTGTAACGTAAGCAAAAGCTTTGTTGTTGACACGCGTGAAGATACTCAAGCTCATCCGGTGCATGCGATCGGTGTCTTCGCCACTTGTGTTTATAG